TCCCCAGCCCCCCTCCATGTCCACCCCACCCCTACCTGGAGGGGGGGGGGGGGGGGGGGGGCTGTGGGGACCCTGTCATGCACTGCAAACACCTCCCTTTGCCCCCTGCCCGTGCCCCCCGCCTGCCCTCACCAGCTTGATCTCGCCGTTGCCCACGATGAGGCTGAACTCGCTCAGGTCCTTCATGAGCCCATTGAGCACCTCAGCCGCCCGCTTGCGCTGCTGCGCGCCCAGGTCCTGCAGCCGCTGCAGCTCCGTCTCCAGCGACAGCGTGGCAGCCTGGAAGTGGGGGCGGCTCGGGGGTCTGCAGATCCCCCAGATCCCACCCCCCCACATGGTCCCTCCCGTGCAGGCAGAGAACCCAGGGGTTACGCAGGCATAGGCTGGTGCATGGGGCAGTGGGGGCAAAGGTCAGGTGTGCCAAGGGTACAGGGGTGAGGGGACCAGGAATGGGGGGTAGGGGGCAGGGTGGGGAATCAGGGGCAGGGGGTGCAGCAACTAGAGGTGGGGGACAGGGCATGGGTGCAGATGCTGGGTCAGGGTGCAGAGAGGTCAGGGTGGTGGGCGCAGAGGTCAGAGGACTACAGAGTGCAGGGGTCGGGATGCAGGGGTCAGTGGCAGGTGGTGGGGGCAGAGCTCAGGATGACAGGCACAGGGGGCAGGGGTCAAGGTGATGGGGGGCAGGGTGATGGGTGCAGGGGTCAGGGTACAAGGGTCAGGGATCAGAGTGCAAGGGGTCAGAGTGATGGGTCCAGAGATCAGAGGGGTACAGAGCGCAGGGGTTAGGGTAGATGAGCAATAGGAGCAGGCGTCAGGGTGATGTGGGCAGAGGTCAGAGGTTGCCCCCTCCCCCCAACACAGCTCACCACTTTCTGGGCCAGCTCGTCCAGCAGGCGCTGGTTCTGCTGCCCACTGTCGGCCGCCTCCTGCGCCTTCTGGTCGTAGCTGAGCGCCAGCTCCTCCAGCGCCTGCAGCACCTCGCGCACCTCCGCCTTGGCTGCCTCGTTCTCGGCCTGCAGCCGCCCCAGCTCCCGCTGCACCCGCTCCCCGTCCCCGCGTGTCGACACTAGCAGCTGTGCAGAGAGATCAGGTCAGGGGGTCTGCAACAGCCCCCCACAACCCCCCCAAGCCCCCGCGGCCTCTCACCTCCTCCTGGTCCAGCATCTGCTGCTTGAGCTTCTCCAGGAGCTGGCTCTGCTGGTTGATCTCCTCGTCCTGGGGCACAGGGCAAGGAAGGATCAGTGCCCCCCCGGCTCCCCCAGGAGCTCCGAGGGACATCGGGGGCCCCACATAGCTGGGGAGGGGCACAAGAGGCCTGGCAGGGTATGGGCTGGGGGCAGTGCCCTGGGGTGGGGGTCCCATGGGAGGGGACCAGGGGTGGGGGCAGGGGGCACCTTGTCATCCAGCTGGCGGTAGAGGCGCCGGATCTGCTCCTCGTACTTGCGCCGCTCATCGTCGGCGATGCGTACCACCAGTGAAGCGGCGGTCGCTGGCACCACCCCGTTCCTGTTGTCCAGCCCCGGTTCCTCCACCCCGGTCCTGGTCTCCGTCCCGGTTTCGTCTGCAGCCTCTGGCTCCGGTGTGGCCTCCTCCTCACTCAGCTGCTCTGTCTCTGGCACGTTCTCCCCTGGGGGTGGCAGGGGCTGGTTACCCCCCACAGCAGGCATCACAGCAACAGCCCAGCCTTGGAGACCGCCTGGTCTCCTGGGTTCTCCACCCTGGCATCACCATCCCTCCAGCAGCTGGGCACCCCGAATGCCTGGGTCCCCCGGGCCTCACCACTGCGCCAGCGGCTGAGCTCAGCCTCCAGCTTGCCCACAGTTTCCTTCAGCGTCTTGTTCTTCTCCTTCTCCTTCTCGTACTTCTTCTTCCACTGCTCTGCCGTCAGCTCCAGGTTCACCGATGCTGTGTTCTTGATGGTCTTGGCCCTGGGGGGTCACACGGGGCAGGGGTGACCTCACTCCCGAATGCCTGGGTTCCCCACCCCAGCCTCTCCATCCCTTCACCAGCTGCTTCACCTCCCCACCCGGGACCCCGCTTCTTTGCAGCCATGTCCCAACCCCACAGGGCCCAATCCTGTGACCTGGGGGGGATCCTGGAGACCCCTCCCTCCCCCTGGGGGAAGCCCAGAAGGGGCTGCAGCCTCTGACCCCTGACCTCTGCCCCCCGGTTACCGCTGGCCGAACATGAGGGTGGACTTGGTCTCGGCATCGTTGTAGCTGGACGGGGAACAGCAGATGAACATGGTCGTGCGGCAATTCCCACCCAACGAGTCCTGCAGGATCCGCGTCATCTTGCTGTCCCGGTAAGGCACATAGGCCTTCTGCAGGGGAGGGAGTGGAGGGTCAGGGGGCCCTCAGAGCCCCCCCGAGAGAGGGTGTGGAAGGGAGATGGGGCAGGGACTTAGGGGGCTTCAGAGGCGGTAGCAGGGGCTGTGGCTGGGCCAGGGTAGGTCCGGGGGCC